AAATGTCGTCGCGTGAGGGTGTCAATGACCAGGCCGTGGGTGAGGCCGCAGCAAGGATTGCTGACGCTGGCGTCGAAACGGATGATGCTTCGCGGCGTGGCGACGGAGGCATGGCTGTGGAGGGGCTCACCATTGTTGTGCACATGCTGGGCCAGGATGACTTGGTCGTGAATACGGATCTCCGGGGCGTTGGTGCGTGTGTGGAGTCGTAACGTGAGGTCAGCGCTCACGAGCATTGTTAGCTATGGTAGCATGAGAACGCGTATGGCATTGTCTTCCACAAACTAGCCTGAAATTGTAGGTCTCGTTCAGAGGTCTGGTGAAAGGTCTGGTGTTGTCCTCGCGATTGAATCGCCCTCACCCGTCCAAATGGCTGAGCCGGAATGCCGAAATCCGGAAGCCGTTGACGCGCTCTTGTCGAATCAGAAGGGTCCCTCGTCGGACCGGTTGGCCCCGAGAGATCCGGGTGGTCGCGGGGGGGGGGGGCGCGGAACCCCTGCGATGGGCCAATGGCGGGCGTCATGACTTTTCTTGCATCATCTTTTGGCCCATGGCCCCTCCATTGACTATCCCCTCCTCCGTGGACCATGGCCTCCTCGTCTACTATAGCCCCTCCGTAGACCACAGCCCCGCGAAACGACATCTCTACGCACTAGAGACGGGTCACCCCCATGTGCCTTAGCTTAGCAGACACGAGTCGGTCTCACAACTCCCGGGTCTTCTTTCATAAGAGTACCGGATGCCCTCCATGTCACTGCTCCGAAGCACACTATCTCGACACCATCTCACCAACAAGAACTTCAGACCGAGTCTTGCCACCCTAGGCTCTTCACTATTTACTCGATCACTGACGCAAACCACCTCAAAAATGTCCTCAGATAAGCTCCCCGAGGCAGCGCCGCGCAACCCACACGGCGACTTCAAAGCCGTCGAGGCCGCGCGCCCCGACTTTGACTCCTCGGCCTCCTTCCACTACACCAAGACGCCGGCGCCGGGCTGGCAGTACGGCGACGGCGCCAACACGTCCTCGTCGGCCTCCCACGTCGCCATCGACCCGCACGCCGCCGGCCGCCCCGCCGGCTTCAACTACAAGTTCCTCATCTCGGCCATCACGCCGCGGCCCATCGCCTTCCTGTCGACGCGGGCCCGGGACGGCAGCGAGAACCTCGCGCCCTTCAGCTACTTCAACATGATCAACCACGACCCGCCGCTCTTCAGCGTCGGCTTCTCCAGCGGCCTCGCGGCGCCCAAGGACTCGCTGCGCAACCTCGTCGAGACGGAGCGCGTCGTCATCAACATCATCTCCGAGCCCTTCCTCGAGGCCGCCAACGCCACCTCCATCAACGCCCCGCACGGCGTCTCCGAGTGGCACGTCGCCGGCCTGACGCCCCTGCGCGACACGGACAACGGCGTCGCCCGCGTCGGCGAGGCCGTCGTCGCCATCGAGGGCACCCTCGTCTTCACCAAGGAGTGGGCCAGCAGGGCCACGCCCCGGCAAGACGTCGGGCACCCTCGCCGTCATCGAGGGCACCAAAGTTCTGGGCCCGCGCCGACGCCGTTCAACGAAGGAGGGGAACCTCGTCGACGCCAGCGTCCTGCGGTCCGTGGGCCGGCCTTCGGGCGGCATCCACCTAACAGCCGCACGCTGGCGGCGATTCGAGCTGACGAAGGCCCGACTTTGACAAGACGCTGGGGCGGGGAGGCCTATGAGAAGGTTCAGGGCCGAGGGCAAGGGGCAGTGAGGCCTCTGCGGGCGCGTGGCGTAGATAGACTATACCCCCTTTAGATCAATGCCGCGATGAGGCGATGTGTATGATGTTGGTTCTTCGGTGTACGTGGTTCAATGTACGAGGCTTCTTTTCCGACGTGGACGCCGTCCTTGTCCTTCTCATGCCCGGCAGCATACGGTTCGAACGAGGACTTGGCGGGAGAAATCGACACCTGTATCAAGGATTCATCCTACCCAGCTCGGCAGCTATGTAGTGCCTTGTGTAGTCCCTCCGTCGTTACCGAGGCCGACGCGATAAGGTTTCCTGCCTCCTGGCTTGTGTGACAAGGATTGGTTGTTGCTGCAAGTAAAGTTCGTCGCGCAGCAGGACACCGCGGGAGCGGCGAGCATGAACCGGACAATCACTGAGGCCAAGTTCCAACGTTGAGTAAATGGGGAGGCAGGCTTGATCGCGACAAGGCGCAATCTCAGTACAATAGGCCTCCTACGCTGCAGCAGGCCGTCGCGTGGTGCAGGCCGGCGTCTTGAAGGGTCGTCACCCAGCATCGTTGCGTTTGTCTTCTCCCAACTACACGTTTTTCCATGTCGTTGTCAGAAGCCCTTTTGGTTTCACTCCTGAATCCTTGAGGACGTTGCGATGGCTGGGTATTGTGTTTCTCAACAGGGTCATTGTGTTTGTCTGATCCTAGTTTTGGGTCTCTGCATCACTTCTCATAAGGTAACGCACCTACGTGCAGATGCATGAAGAAGGCTTGTGACGCTTCTGTTCCTGTTCTCTCCAATTCTGACGCGTAAGTCCGGCTTCTCCGCTGAGTAACCTCACGTACTGAGACGCTACCGCCAGCATCGAGCCACGACCACGCCTGCCAATATGAGCCAACGACAAGGACAGCCGTGGACCAGCGACGCGGCAGCAGTTGAAGAAGATGCAAGGCAGGGTGGTTGGTGGTATACAGAAGCAAGTCCGCCCTCTCCGGCATTTCGCTGCAATCGCTGACCTGAAGACAGGAGTCGGCCACGGCATGGCACATAGCCCCAGCAGAAGAGGGCAGCGGTAGAGGGCACAGTAGAGGGTAGCAGAATGGGGGCAGCAGTATGAAGGTCAAGCAAGGCCACTTTGAACACGCAAAGGGTGTCAATTTGCAATGGCTCGATGGCGTGTTCTTCTTGCCGTGTGCTTGTACAGCGCGCTAGACTTTTCAGAAGAATGAAGGGCCTCTGCGCCCTTTCGTGTACCGAGAGGTCTGTTCGTATTTGAGGTCGCCAGTCTGGGTTAATTGAGGGAGCGTCTAGCCCGTAAGCACGAAAACCATCTTCCCATACATAAGTAGCTAGTGATGATGATAATAGTGATGCGTTGAGAGGCCTTCACTCCTTACGTGAACCCTCAGGATACATAACTTTGGCTATGCCTGAGAGCTCTGAATAGGTAGGGCTGGTGATGTGAGACTTGTGATGATTATCGACCCTCTCTACCCGAATTGCCGCCATCTAATTGATTCACCGATCACTGACTTCACTGCTCCCACGAGCGCGTAACTTAGAACCCACGTCATCACCAGAGCGGTGAATCACAAACGGTGATCACCAGCCCAGGCAATTCCCTATATTGGTTCAACAGATGGTACATTCAACGCCGCTATCGATTCCACGTAGGCAAAAAGACGCCCGCGCCGGTAGGTCGTTCTTCGGCCGTTGAGATAGTGCCAGGTGGCCCTGCGGAACTCCTTAGCAGAGGGTCGGGCGGGGGGCTAAGGGTAACGAGAATGTGTATATAAGGAGCTGTGGAGGGCCCTCCAAGCTGCTGAGGACCAGAATTCAGATGTATTCCGACCCCCTACCTATTATCATTGCCTGCGGACTAGGTGTGGAAGACCTCTTCACTCGGCTCTAAGCCACGCACTGACAGGTAGCTATATTCTAGTCGTCCGCTAGTTCGTAGGATTGAATGTCGGGGGGCAGTATGTTGCTGGGATATAATTCGATT